CATATATATATTCGTGCACCGGTGGGGTCTCTCCGCCTGGCCAGCGATCTGGGTTGAGCAGGACAATCTCGCCCAGTCCCAATCGGGGTCCATTGGGGCTGGTGACTGGGGAGGGACCATAGGAGGGCTCCAGGGCATGTCTGGCCCCATCTTTCCCAGTCCTGATCTGCTGGACCCCAGCAGCAAGCTAACCAACTGGTCAGAGCATCTGTCCCCTGGTGGTCTGTGCACGTCATAGCGACTGGTCAACCAGTCTACTGTCTGCCCCCTGGTGGTCAGTGCACATCATAGCGAGCGGTTGAGAGACCTTATCATATCATTAGCATATTACGCTATGATTGGTTGAATGGAAGATACTTAGCATATTAGGCTTTTATTATATAGGGTATATATAGTTGATTTCAGAGAGGAAGGGAGAGGGAGAGGGATAGAAACATCAGTGATGATAGAGAATCATTGATTGGCTGCCTCCTGCATGCTCCCCATTGGGGATCAAGTCCACAACCCGGGCACGTGCCCTGACCAGGAATTGAACTGTGATCTCCTGGATCATAGGGAGGCGCTCAGCCCCTGAGCCACACCGTCAGGCTCTCCGGGTGTCTGACAGACGGGCCGGCTCCCTCTCTCCACACCTGCCTCTCAAGAAGGCCTGGCTTGCGGCTGGAACCGACCCACCTGCCCTGGCCCCCAGCTCTGTTAGCGCATCACTTTCCTAAGAGGAGGGTCTGGTGAGGCCACTGCCCAGCAAGAAAGCCTTCAGCTTCCAAAGCATGGCCCCCGTGGGGACAGAGACTGAAACCCTCCTGGTCCTTGGAAGCCGGGGCCCAGCCGAGAAGGGCACCCAGAGCCCGTCTCGCAGTGAACGGCTGCGATGCCCCAGGGCAGCGCCCGCAGCCGCCTGCATGCCCAGGTCACACTCGGGTCGCCACTGTCCCCTGCAGATGGCAGGTGTTGGGCTCAGTGAAAGCTTCCTTAGGGTTTTATGTTTAACCCCTCGCGTCTTGGTGCCTCACTCTCGCCCAGCCTTGCCCGCTCCTCCGTGCCTGCTCTTCCACGGTGACCTTTGCACACTCGGCTGCAAATGTGCGCTGGCTCCCCTGCCTGGGCACCAGAGCGTGTGCAGCCCCGGGCGACTCCGAGCCTTCCTCCCTGCTTCCCCGCCCGCCCCTGGCGCCACTCCTCCCCTGGCCCACGCAGGTGCTCCCTCCGTGTTCGCAGAATAGAGGGATGCCAGGGACCTGAGCTCCGAGGAGCAGAGGGGCACAGCATGCGGGACGGGCGTGGGGGGTGGGCATTTGGAGGGGACACAAGCGGGCAGGTTGTTTCTAGCCAACGCTCTCGGGAGGGCGGGTGCGGACGCCTTGGGAGCCAGGGAGCCACCCTCTTGGCCGGAGCAGAGGACACAGGTGGAGGGTGGCTCTGGGGGTCACAGCAGGGCCGTGGAGGAGTCTGGGAATTTGCCATTGTCCTGTGAAGTGGCAAAATCCAGGGGCTTCCGGAATATTAATCCAGCACAAGGACAGACTGAGGGGAAGTCACAAAGCAAGGATGGGGCCCTGGCCGGTTTGGCTCAGTGGATAGAGCATCGGCCTATGGATCGAAGGGTCCTGGGTTCAATTCCGGTCAAGGGCACGTACCTTGGTTGCAGGCTCCTCCCCCACCCCGGCCCTGGTCGGGCCTCGTGCAGGAGGCAAACAATCGATGTGTTTGCGTGTCACCTCTGACACGCGTGTCATAGGTTTGCCATCACTGGTCTAGAACATGAGAGGAAGGAAGGCCGGACAGGTGAATGGGCCCCAGCTGGGCCGAAAGGAGAACGCAGCCTTAATCCTGCAGAGAAATGGGCGCTGGACCCTGCATGTCACCATGGGGACTGTGACCCGTGTGTCCCCAAGTTCTTCAAACTCCAGCTCAGCTTCCCTTGAACGTGCATCGAGCACAGTCTGCGGCAGGCACAGTCTGAGCAGCCGTGCCCGGGGAGACCCAGGCTGCGCGAGCCCCACTCCTCGCATTAAGAACAATCCCAGGGCAGCTGGCCTGCCCCACCCAGCTGGCCGGGCGCCCTCCTTTCTGGACAGCACCCCTGGGTCCCCCCCCAGGCCCCTTCCTGCCTCATGACCGTCTCTGAGCTGATGTGTCTCCTCACAAGCTTTCCCCCAGCCCCCAGCGCCCAGGGGACTTCAGTCACTGTTGTCCCTCACAGACAGGGGGCTGTGGTCCCTCAGTCCCCAGAATGCAGGTTCCAGCTCCCCCGACCAAGGTCTGCTTCCCATTTCCCATCCCCGTGAGCAACAGTGGGAGCATCCATGTCCTTACTCATCAGCGTTACTTTCCATTCCTCCCACGGGTGGGGCCCCCCCAGCCTTGGCAAGGCTGCCACACAGTCATTTCCCCAAGACCGGCTTACTCAGCCGCACCACTGGCCAGGGGCACGCGGGCACCGACAGCCCCGCCCACACGCCTGCCTCGCTCACAGGCTGGCCTCCCGGGGAGCAAAGCCCAGCCCAGCCCTGCACCCCAGCCCTCCGGGCAGCCACCCCGTCCAGCAGCAGCCGGTCTCCTGGTCTCCGTTGGGGAGTGTGTGCCTGGGAGCAGTGTAAATTCACATCGAAGGCGGAAAAGCCAACCGCTGTCTGCAGGAGGCAGGGGGCTGGCCAGCAGGACCCCAGCCTGCAGTGCTGACTAGGAAATCCCGGGGTTCAGGAACTTTCTCTGCTTAAAATCAGCCCCAAAAGGACGGCTGGCACTCGCTGAATATCTGTGTGACCACCGAAGTCCCAGGTCGCTCCTGATTCTGCAAAGATAGGTCCCAGTTTCCTTCCTATATCAATCACATGTGCTGCGGATCCTTGAAGTTCCGTGCCCACCCCCCTATGTCCAGAAACAGGAGAAAATGGCTAGAAAACCCAAAAGTATAATCTGCCCCCAGGGGAGTGTCAGAAAAGGGAAACCCCACGAGAAGGCCAGATTCTGGGACAAAGGGGACCTTTTCTGCTCCAGGCATGTTGGGTTCACAGTGACACCAACAGTGCAAATCGAGGGTCCAGGAGACAGGACCAGGTGTTGGGGTGGGGGGTGGGGACCTGAGATTTGGGGGCATCACCTCTCTGGAAGCTCTGGGTGGGTGCCTTCTGCATGAGGGAGGAAGCTTGAAATGTCTTACTCTTTGTTTTTTTCAAAGTGAGCTTATCTATACTAATAAAAGGGTAATATCCTAATTAGACCAGCTCGACCGGACATCTTCCGATGTCCAACTTCCTTCTGGACAGTTAGGGGGGGACCAGGCTGGCAGGGGGGGGGGGCATTTGGGGATGATCAGGCCAGCGGGGGGGGGCAGTTAGGGGTTATCAGGCAGGCAGGCATGTGAGCAGTTAGGAGCTAGTGATCCCGGATTGTGAGAGGGATGTCTAACTGCCAGTTTAAGCCCAATCCCTGGGATCGGGCCTAAATCAGCAGTCACACATCCCCCAAGGGGTCCTGGATTAGAAAGGGTGCAGGCTGGGCTGAAGGGACCCCCACCCCCACCCCGTGCACAAATTTTGTGCACCGGGTCTCTAGTTTTATATATATACTAGAAGCCCATTGCACGAAGATTCACGCAATAGGCCTTCCTTCCTCTGGCTGCCGGCACCGGTTTTCCTCCGGCACCCAAGACCCAGGCCTTTGGTCCTCGAGGCTTGGCTTCTCCACTGAGGCCACAGTGAGGCTTCAGTCTTCAGTCTTCGCTCCATGCCTGCATATGCAAATTAACCACAATCTTTGTTGGGTTAATTTGCATACTCATCTGATTGGCTGGTGGGTGTAGCGGAGTGACATCAATTTGCATGTTTCTCTTTTATTAGTGTAGATTTTATTGACTTCAGAGAGGAAGGGAGAGAGAGAATAATTGATTGGCTGCCTCCTGCACGCACCCCACTGGGGATCAAGCCTGCAACCTGGGCATGTGCCCTGACCAGGAATGGAACCGTGACCTCCTGCTTCATAGGTCGACGCTCAACCACTGAGCCACACCGGCCAGATGAAACGTCTTACTCTTTAGGAGCCAAAAGAGTAGGGGTTCAGTTAAAGGATCTCAAGGCTTGGCCCTCAAACAGCCAGGAATGTCTTACTGCCCTGGACACGAGGCCTTGAGTAGCTCAACTTGAAGGATGGATGCGGCCTCGCCCTAGAGCAGCCCACACGGCTGCCAGGAGGCTCAGGGAAAGCACATCTAATCTTGCTCAACCCGGCATGAGTCAGCCCGTTCCTGGCTCGCTGTTTGTTTAATGGGGTCCGCACTGACGGATTCCTGGCCCTGGATCCCACAAGACCCAAATCCCAGCGGGGACTTTCCAGCGGCGCCCACTGAAGCCGCTGCAGAGCCCGGCCCTCGGAGCCAGCACTCAGCGTCCGCGGGTGCCTGAGGCTCTCGGGCACTCAGGGACGCCAGTGTGTGGGGTGGTTTGTGTTTCGGGAGCGTGGTGTCCTTGCCTTTTTAAAAGTGTGGGGCTTTTAAAAATATATTTTATTGATTTTCCACAGAGAGAGAGAGAGAGATAGAGAGTTAGAAACATCGATGAGAGAGAAACATCGATCAGCTGCCTCCTGCACACCTCCTACTAGGGATGTGCCTGCAAGCAAGGTACATGCCCTTAACCGGAATCGAACCTGGGACCTTTCAGTCCGCAGGCCGACGCTCTATCCACTGAGCCAAACTGGTTAGAGCTAAAAGTGTTTTTAATTTGTGTTTCAGTCACAGTTGACATCCAATATTCCAGGCGAATATAGTGCTTAGCCATGCGTGTGCCTTCCCGAGCGGTCGCCCCATGAATTTGGCACCAGGCACAGTGGTTACAATATCGCAGACTCCATCCGCTGCGCCAGCTGAGGGCAGTTGGCCAGGGCGCCCTTCGTGGGCCGGGTGGCGGCCGCCCGGGGGCCGGAGGTGAGGAGAGAGAGGGAAGGTGAATCATCTCTCGCCAGCTCCGAAGTGCAAAGCAATTTTTCTTTCAAAACCACAGCTCGCTTCCCCCGTCTGAAACACTTACTTTTTCGGCAACCCCTCCCATGACGTCATCGATGGAGCAGAGGTTATATAAGTCAGGCCACCCCGTTTCTCAGCGCTTCCCAGAACAGACAGCACCTCCGGAGGCAGCTGTCGCCGTCCTGTCGGAAAACCCAGCCGAAGTCGCGCTCCAGCTCCCTTCCTGAGTAAGTGAACGCCCGGCTTTCTTCTCCCTACGAGAGTGACATGTAGGAGGAGACCCATATCTCTTAGAGAGAGAAAAAAATCGTCCTTTCACAGCTAAATATTGGCAGGATTTTCAGCTTTCTGTAAGCGTGTATATATATTTTTAAAACCATGTATATCTAAATCAATGTGAGAGGCTTGTATTCCAGGCCTATTTGGGGTTTTAGCTGCTTTGCCAGAGGACAGGGAGGAGGAGGGAGAGCAGAGGAGGGCCTGGAAGGAACACGAGGGCCCCATGGCGGTCTCTGGGAGCAGCCCGCACCCCTGTGTGCAGCATGGGGGCTGCCGGGTGCCCCGGACATCTGAGGGGCTAGGTGTCCTGGGTGTATTTGTCTCCTGTGGCGGCCGTCACCTATAACCACAAACTGGGTGTCTTAAAACAACAAGTGGGCTGTATCATATTGATGGAGTTGTAAAGTAGTTCAACTTAAAAACTATTTTCAAAAATATTATGTATTTAACTGTATATATACATATATACACACACCCCAACAAATTGGTTAAGTTATATTAATAGATTTTTAAAGTAGTTTTAGTCTACAATTTTTTTCAAAAATATTATGCCTCTAAAAGTATATGCATCCACATATAGTAAAGCAAAATAAACCCCCTTCTTTACGTTAATTAACTGAACAATGAAAAGTGACATAAGCAAAATAATTGTTCTTGGTCCATAGCCATGGCCCATACCTGTGTCTGAGGCATGCACTGACGCTGGTGTGTCCCTGTGTCCTTGGTCCATAGCCATGTCTGAGGCATGCACTGACGCTGGCATGTCCCTGGCATTTTCCTGAGGGTATCTTTTCTTTCCATACGATTTTATATTTTCAGTTGTTCCATACAATTGCTGAGGTCTTCTTCAAGTTTCAAGGTTAACACATTTAAATAAATGCCTTCCATGGATGCTCTCCTTGGACCAGAATATATTTAATTAAGAAAGTGTTCTCTCTGCAGGTGCCAAGGGGCCTGGTAAGCTCTGAGCAAATTCTGAGCAGAGACGCTCAGGCCCAGGGCTTTGCATGTGGAATTATGTAAATACTAGAGGCCAGGTGCATGAAATTAGTGCACTTGGGTGGGGGGGGGGGTGTCCCGCAGCCCGGCCTGCACCCTCTCCAATGTGGGACCCTGTGGGATCGGGCCTAAACCGGCAGTCAGACATCCCTCTCACAATCCGGGACTGCTGGCTCCTAACCACTCCCCTGCCAGCCTGATCGACGCCTAACTGCTCCCCTGCCGGCCTGATTGCCCTCAACTGCCCTCCCCTGCAGGCCTGGTTGCCCCCAACTGCCCTCCCTGCCAGCCTGGTCACCCCCAACTGCCCTCCCCTGCCGGCCTGATCATCCACAACTGCCCTCCCCTGCCTGCCATCTTGTGATGATGTGAGGCTGTCACACTAGGGTGCGAGGTCCACCTAGGCTTTTATTAGTATAGACTAATGGTGGGGGGCCTGCAGGGATCAGCCCACTATGGGAGTGCTGCTCATCCCGGTCAGCTAAGCAGCTCCTCCTGCTGTGGGAGTGCACTGACTACCAGAGGGCAGCTCCTGTGTTGAGCGTCTGCCCCCTGGTGGTCAGTGCATGTCATAGTGACTGGTTGACCGGTCATTCTGGTTGTGCCGCTGTACGGTCGCTGGGCTTATATATATATAGGTTTCAGCCCAGATGTGGTCACTGGGAGCTGCCTGTATGCCTTAATTCAGAGTTCCTTTCTTCAACAAATAGATTTACCAGAGGAAACTCTTCAAATACGATGTAGCTATTTATCATTTTTGAATTCTTGGTCGAATTTGGATGCCACAAATCATAGACTTTCTCAATTTCATCTCTTTTCTGTGTAGCATACGAATTGATCCCATTGCAAAAATTCTGCCCTACAAGTGGAGATGTTCCAAAGCTCATTACAGAATTTGATTACAGGATTTTAAAATTAAATCTTGTGTGCCATTTGGGCTCTTATCACTTAATTTGATCACTTTCTCCCTTGCTCTTTCAGCAAAACACAATTTTAATTATTTTCTACCTAAAAGTGTTGTTTCCAAGAACGGCCATCTGCTAAAAGCCCTAAGAGTGGGTGCTTTGGCACTGCGTTTGTTGAGTACCTTGATTAGAGATTTCCAGTTGATTTGGAACCACTTAGAGATCAGCTGGAACAACCAGTCTAATAACATGGTAGGGCTCTTAGCCTCCACGTCTCCTCACACTGACTGAGGATGGGCAGCGGGAAAGAAAACGCATGTTGTGTTTCTCTTCAAATCCACCATCGACCTCACAGAAAGTCTGCAGTCCAGGCGTGATGCTTTAAAATGGTGTAAATGTTGTCCACTCCCACCCCCATTCAAGGGGTACCATATCAAAGTGCATGGGTATGCAGGGACAACTAGTGTGTGCGCGCCACCGCCTGCTCCAGGTCCATGTGTTTCATCGCTCTCTTGTGTTAGCAAGAACAGCAGTGTTCCTGTGACACTGTGCCCACCCAAACGTGCGTGTGTGTGTGTGTGTGTGTGTGTGTGTGTGTGTGTGTGTGTGAGCATCACAGAAGACGGCCCCTTTACCTCCGGTGTGAACAGTGCTAACTGGCCTTAGACTAGCAGCCCCCAAATTTTCTCCAGAATGAGCTTCTGAAATTTTGTTTTGATTCCACGAGCCGGATGAAAGCATTGGATGACAGTTGCAGTTGACCAACTATTTTTTAATATGTTTTTATTGATTTTAGAGAGAAAGGAAGCCGAGAGGGAGACAGAGGTAGAAATATCGATGAGAGAGACATCCATTGGCTGCTTCCTGCATGCCCCACACTGGGGATCGAGACCACAAACCGGGCATGTGCCCTGACCGGGGAATTGAACCGTGACCTCCTGGTTCGTAGGTCAATGCTCAACCATTGAGCCACGCCGGCCGGGCCAGTCCTTAAGTTTGTGTTAAGCCATCCAGTCCTGTGGCTTTAAATACCACCCATGAGATTACAGCTCCCAACTGTGTCCTGTTACCTCAGGCCTGGTCTCCAGTCGCCCCCTGGGCATCCTCACTAGATGTCTGACACACATCCCAACCCTAACATGCCCAGCAGGGAACTCCTGATTGCTCCCCCTCCTCCCCCCGCCCAAGAAAAGCCTCCCCATCCGCACGCTGGCCGCTCCATTCCAGTTGATGAGCTTTGTATCTCCAGGTGCTCAGACCCAACGTCTCCTCCTCTCACAGCCGATATCCAATTCGAAATGTATCTAGACTCTGACCCCCATCTCGCCATCTCCCCCACGGACATGTCTATTCAGCAGGCACACCGTTATTGGCCCTCTCCATCTCTGCGTCTAGACCGGGAGCACCTTCGGGCCGGGGGCCGCTCGGTCCTGTTCCCTGAATCCCCAGCACCCGGCAAAGTGCCGGCACAAAGTAGAAGCTCATTAAGTGTTTGTTTGACGGCAAATAACAACAACATGGTTGCTAATGAGACTAATTGCCACCTTCTGTCGAGTGCCTCCTCCGTGCCAGGCAACCGTGCTAAGCAGGATACAATGAGCTCTGGTTTTCAAAAAGAAAAAGAAAAAAGTCAGTGGGTCTAAGTGGCCCACACCCAAGGCTTGTGCCAGGATTTGGACTTGGGTTTCAAAGCCCTGGTCCTTTCCTTTCTACCAGGAGTTGGCCAGCTTTTCCTCTTAAGGGAACAGCTGATCAGTGTTCAGCGCCGCGGGCCTCGCAGCCTCTGTTGTCACACAATAAGTGAACGCATGGGTGCGGCCATGTGGCAGTGAAACGTTATTTTCCAGAACCTTGGCCAGCTGGATGCAGCCGGGAGCTGTAGTGGAGGCTCCCGCGTCAGCTCTGTGCCGTTCATTGCAGGTCACTGTGGATGGCATCCCGGGCCCTCCTGGCGCTCCAGCCCACCAACCAGAGCCAGCTCCTGCCTCTCAATGCCACATCCTGCGAGGACGATGCTCAGGAGGCCTGGGACCTGCTGCACAGGGTGCTGCCGACCTTCATCATCGCCGTCTGCTGCTGCGGGCTGCTGGGCAACCTCTTCGTGCTGTCCGTCTTCCTCCTGCCCCGGCGGCGCCTCACCGCGGCCGAAATCTACCTGGCCAACCTGGCCGCCTCGGACCTGGTGTTTGTCTTGGGCCTGCCCTTCTGGGCCGAGAACATCTGGAACCAATTCCACTGGCCGTTCGGGGCCGCCCTCTGCCGCGTGGTCAACGGCGTGATCAAGGCCAATTTGTTCATCAGCATCTTCCTGGTGGTGGCCATCAGCCGGGACCGCTACTGCGTGCTGGTGCACCCCATGACCAGCCGGAGGCGGCGGCGGCGAAGGCTGGCCCAGGTCACCTGCCTGCTCATCTGGGCCGTGGGGGGCCTCCTGAGCGTCCCCACCTTCCTGCTCCGCTCCGTCAAGGTCGTCCCGGACCTGAACGTGTCGGCCTGCGTGCTGCTGCTGCCCCACCAGGCCTGGCACTTTGCGAGGATGGTGGAGCTGAACGTGGTGGGCTTCCTCCTGCCGCTGGCCGCCATCGTCTTCTTCAACTACCACATCCTGGCCTCCCTGCGCGGGCGGGCGGCGGTCATGGACAGGGGTGCGCGCAGCGGGGGCCCCGGGGAGGGCAAGCCCACGGCGCTGATCCTCACGCTGGTGGCCGCCTTCCTGGTCTGCTGGGCCCCCTACCACTTCTTCGCCTTCCTGGAGTTTCTGGTCCAGGTGCGGGCCATCCGCGGCTGCTTCTGGGAGAACCTCACTGACCTGGGCCTGCAGTGGGCCAACTTCTTCGCATTCATCAACAGCTGCCTGAACCGGTCATCTACGTCTTTGTGGGTCAGCTTTTCCAGACCAAGGCCTGGGAGCTCTATAAAAAGTGCACCCCGGGGAGTCTGACAGCCATTTCCTCGTCCCAGAGGAAAGAAATCCTCCAACTCTTCTGGCGGAATTAAGGCGCCGGAGCCGAGAGGCGTGGCTGCCGGACACGATGGACACGATAGCCACTGTTGCCCTAGGCTGAAAGTGGCCCCACGTAACCAGGGCTGCAGCCCCTGGGCCCTGTGAATGCTTTTATGGTAACAGGGACTTTGCAGATGCAACTCAACGAAGGGTCTTGAGATGGGGCGATGGCCCTGGATTATTGGGGTGGCCCCCGGTAACCACGAAGGTCCTTTTAAAGGGAAGCGGGAGAGTCACAGAAGGCTATGTCACAACAGAAGCCAGAGGTTGGGGCAACACATGGAAGGGACCGCAAGCCAAGGGCTGATGGCGCCCTCTAGAGGCAGGAGCAGGCAAGGGAAGGGATTCTCCCTGGAGCCTCGGGAAGGACGCAGCCCTGCAGACCTCCCTTCTATGGCCCGGTGCGACTGATGTTGGATGTCTGGCCTCCAGACACATGGCATAATAAATGTGTGTTGTTTTAAGCCAAGAAGTTTGTGACCATTTGTTCCAGCAGCAACAGGAAATGAACACAAGTTTCCAATAAGGATCTCTTACTGCATTCCCACCGTTTTCTAGGGAGAGCACTAGGAATGCAGAGATGCTATAGCTAGACAGCCTGTTCTCAGGCGCTTCCACCGATGTACATAGTTACGGTGTAATAAAGAGAAGGAGAGTGCGCAGGCGCACGCGCAGATCCGCACCGAGTCCTCAGAAGGGCAGGGGAGGGTTTCTCCTGAGGGTTGTCAGAAGGATGTTGAGAACTGTGAGCCGAGATGCATAGAGGGCAGGTCTGGGTACGTGGAGAGGGGAGAAGGGCCGGTGGAGGCATAACCGAGACACACGGTAGAAAAGCATGGGCTACGCCTGAAAGAGTGTTTATTGAGCTCCGTGCATCGGCGTTCTTCTTGCTACGAGACCCAGTGGTGAACCTGAAAGTCTGCCTTCAAGGGGCTCATGGAGAGTGTCCCCATCAGGGCAAGAGAAGGTGTGCTGAGAACACAGAGCAGGTGTCCAGCCGGGTGCCTGGGAGGGGTGTTGGAGAGGTTTCCCAGAGGAAGGGACATACACGCCGAAAGGAGTGGTCCAGGTAGAAGAAACAAGCCAGACCCAGAGGCAGGCGAGTTCATAGTCAGGAGGGAGAAGGATGAAGGGAGGTGTAGTATGAGGCAGTGGTAGAGGGATTGCAGGTTGGAGGAGAGTGGAGATGTTGGGAGGCCCTACAATGGCCAAGGGCAGAGAGGGAAGCAGGGTGTCCCAGGGGCTTTGAGGGCCCAGCTGAAGCTAGAAGCCATAAATTTAGTTTGCATGGATGGCTCTTGGGTTATATTAATAGAAGTA